GAAAGCTATCGGGCTATAGGGTTACAGGTAATTATGTATTTGTTTATTCATATTTTTAATCAAGCAATAAGTAAAGTCACATTTGGAAATTTATTTTAAAACTCGCACCTGAATTACTTCTCAATTGAACAAGATTACTTTTGTTCTAAAATATGTTGGGCAAGTTTACAGCTTAATGTTGACAGCGTATGTTTTAGAAGAATAGATAACAAATTTAAAGCTTTATTCGATTTTTTTTCCAAGCAAACGCTTCTAAGTAATCTTTTTTTAATGCGAAAAGTTTAGTTTAAAAGAGGTAGTGAATTTTCTTTTAAATTATGGAAGTGAATTTTTATCATGGTAGTCGCAGCCGCCCAGTTCTTTAGGAGCGAAATTGAGAATATTTCTCAATTTCACACATTTTTTTTTATCTGCTGAAAGATATCAATTTATTTTCAATTTTTTAACTTGTCAGCTAAATTTTAATCTGAGACCCGTTAAACCTACAAATTACCTTAAATTAACCTACAAAATATTCTTACATAAAGCTACAATAATTGTGTATTTTGAAAACTGTGTTCTGGGTTATATGTAAAATCGTGGCTTTTAAGGAGGGAAACAACAATGATGAATGAAAAGCAATTACGGGGATTGGTGAGCGGAGCGAGCATATGAGGAGCCTCCTAGCGTACTAAAAATTGAGTATTCCTTCTGTTTAAAACATTCCGAAACAATCTTGCATTAAGTAATTTTTCTTCATATTTTTGACGAATTTATTTTATAATAGTAGTTAAATTTCTTACATTCTTTATGTATCGTAGAATTGTTCCTCTGGCCCAATACTCTGAAAAAAATTTTTTTTATACGGTAATGAAATATATATGAAAGAGGAATTACTTTAAAAATAAAAGGGACTTTGATTAAAAGATTTTTAACTTAGTAAACTATAATGTAAGTACAAAAATGCAAAAATAGTATTTCTATATATGTATACTTATAAGTTTTTCTTCTGCTTATTTCGTCAAAAATAATACTAATTTTACATAATGTCGTGTAAAATTTTATTTTTGGCATAACTTTGGTTCGCGTTTACTTTCGTGCAAAGCGGAAAATTTTACTACTCGCGGAAAATTTTTACTACTAAAGACAAATAATTTGCCTCTTCAAATGAAGTTTCTTTTTCGAATTCTCATGAAAAATTCGTTTACGCTCTTTTCTCTCTTATAAAATTATATTCACAAGATTTAAAACATCGTGTTTCGTATTTACGCGATTTATTATCAAATATTTCCGTATTTACTCGATTTAAAAGCCACTATTGCGATTTGTGTTCAAGTTAATTAAAAAATTTTACGTCGAAAATCGTATTCACGCGATTTTAATATGAAACATCGAGATTCGTATTAACGCGATTTTCAAGTTAAATGTCGAGATTCGTATTCGCGTTATTTAAAAAATCTCATTTTATTCATATTTACTCAATTTGAATAAAATCTTACATCGATATTTTTATTAAAACTTTGATAACATTCTATGGATAAACTCTTACTACATACTTTTTTCTTGCTTAAATTTTGGGTATTTTTTCAATTATTTGAAAAGTTTCCGCAACATTTTTGGATTTCTATCTACAAATTTTTTAGTTTTTTTACCCTAGCTCATCCATGTGGTATGGATCAATATAGGGTTCTAAAAAAATTAATCATTTTTAAGAAAATCCGTGATTTTTCAAACTAATTTCGCCAAAATGAGGTCTAGTTAGGAAGACTGAGGTGGGCTGGTTAAAACTAGTTATAAGAGTTAGTGCATAATCAGGGATGAGATTTTTCCGCTTTTTAGCGGATTTCCGCTTTTTTCACTTATCTCTTGAATTTCAGCTTTTTTATCAAAAATTCAGATTTTTCTAAAAATTTCACTTTTTTTTCATAAGTATCCCGCTTTTTCAGAAAATTCACCGATTTTCAAAGAGAAACGGAAAATTCAAACTACATAGCTACCAATCCTTTCTCATTTTTACTTATTTTAGCTATTTTCTCCCCTTTTACTTGCAGCAGATAAGATTTTCCGAATTTTTTACCCGCCCTCCAGATAGATCCGATTTTTGTAGTTCAAACGAAACTNCCGTTAAACCTACAAATTACCTTAAATTAACCTACAAAATATTCTTACATAAAGCTACAATAATTGTGTATTTTGAAAACTGTGTTCTGGGTTATATGTAAAATCGTGGCTTTTAAGGAGGGAAACAATGATGATTGAGAAACAATTACGGGGATTGGTGAGCGGAGCGAGCATATGAGGAGCCTCCTAGCGTACTAAAAATTGATTATTCCTCCTGTTTAAAAGATTCCGAAACAATCGTGCATTAAGTAATTTTTGTTCATATTTTTAACGAATTTATTTTATAATAGTAAAATTTCTTACATTTTTTGTGTATCGTAGAATTGTTCCTCTGGCCCAATACTCTGAAAAAAGATTTTTTTTATACGGTAATGAAATATATTAAAGAGGAATTATTTTAAAAATAAAAGAGACTTCGATTAAAATATTAACTTTATAAACAAAATGTACAAAAATGCCAAAAATAGTATTTCTATATATGTATACTTGTATATATATGTATATGTATAAGTTTTTCCTCTGCTTATTTCGTCAAAAATGTTTTATATAATGTCGCTTAAAATTTTATTTTTGGCATAACTTGGGCCCACGTTTACTTTCAAGCAAAGTAATTTGGTCAAAAAACTGCAAATTTTAATACAAACGAACGCGCCAACGCAGTCTGCGGAAAATTTTTACTATTAGTACTAAAGACAAATAATTTGCCTCTTCAAATGAAGTTTCTTTTTCGAATTTTCATGAAAAACTCGTTTACGCTCATTTTTCTCTCTTTTAAAATTCACAAGATTTAAAACATCGAGTTTCGTATTTACGCCATTTATTATCAAATATCGTGTTTCGTATTTACTCGATTTATAAGCCATGATTTTGATTTGTGTTCAAGTTAATTAAAAAATTTTACGTCGAAAATCTTATTCACGCGATCGTATAAATCGTATTAAATCGATCACGAAAATCGTATTTTAAAGTTAAATGTCGAGGTTCGTATTCGCGTTATTTAAAAAATCACATTTTATTCATATTTACTCAATTTGAATAAAATCTTACATCAATATTTTTATTAAAACTTTGATAACATTCTATGGATAAACTCTTACTACGTACTTTTTTCTTGTTTAAATTTTGGGTATTTTTTCAATTATTTGGAAAGTTTCTGCAATTTCGATTTACAAATTTTTTTAGTTTTTTTTTATTACCCTAAACTCATCCAAGTGGTATGGATCAAAATTGAGTTCTAAAAAAATTAATCATTTTTAAGAAAATCCTTGATTTTTCAAACTAATTTCTCCAAAATGAGGTCTAGTTAGGAAGACTGAGGTGGGCTGGTTAAAACTAGTTATAAGAGTTAGTGCATACAGAAGATTTTTTTAATTGAGATTTTGTGTTCCAAGAAAGTTTTTCATATTATCTTAGTCTGCCTGTAACTAATGAATGAATTCTTATGTCACAAACTTTTTATTACTGTATAGTACAGAACCCGTTATCCGGAAATCAGAAAACCGGAAAACTAAAAAAACCGGAACGAAATTCGATACATTTTCCAGCAATTTTTTAAGAAAAAAAATTTTTTTTTCCTCTTAGGATTTTAGGATTTTTCTTTCTTTTTTGAAAGATGTTTACCTTACCATCATTTCAGAAATAATCATTAGCGTATTACCTCATCGTTTTTTCTTATTTTTAAGATTATTTCCAAATATTTTTTTTTTTTTTAGTTGGGTTTTACACTAAAAAAACGGCTTTTTGTAGCGATTCAGAAAACCGGAAAAATCAGTTATCCGGAATAGCGGTAGTCCCGATCGTTCCGGATAATCGGTTCTCTACTGTATTTGGGTTCCGACTGCATGACAGAATTATAACAGCTAAACATAACTTTTTGGCAGGAAATTTTTTTTTAAAAATTAATTTATCACAAAATGGCAGCTTATTTTGCAAACTTTTTCTTAAAATATACTAAGTAGGAGGTTACATTACGTAATGTAAAGTACAATGTCAGGGGCCTGTCCAAGCCAGATTTACTACCGTTTAGCGGTACCTTCCCAAATTGAACTTTTGGAAAAACTGTAGTTTCACAAAAAACTTTTTCTTAAAATTTTATCTTTGTATCGTAAGAAAGGATAAATACATATTTTTGTGTTGATTTTTGATATAATTTTTAATTTTCACAAATTATGTCTAAATTTTCACATAATAGGTACCTCTCAGAAAAACCTAGCCAGACTTCTGAATGTAATTTCACTGAAAATGACTGAACCGAAGTAACCTCATTTTGACCCATCTCTTAAAAAATATTCCTTTTTATATAAACCCGCCTAAATCTTTTGCTTTACTCAATTGTTCACACACATCAAAATTTGTGACAATAAAATGATCCAAAAAGATTATGGCTAACATTTATTTTTACTGACCTAAATTTTGTAAATGCCAAAAAAAAAAAAATGAAGTCAATAATAAGGTATTAATAGCATTTGTATGTTGTGTTTAGACCATCAGATCTTTCAACCATTAAACTCTTACATTCAGAAACTTTCTTAAATGGCATTTCAGTTCAAACTTTTCAGATTATTGTCAAATTTTTATTTGTTATACTTCAAATTATTCTTGAATATTTCCAAACTTTTCAGATTACCGTCAAATTTTTATTTGTCATACTTCAAATTACTCTTGAATATTTCCAAACTTTTCAGATTACTGTCACATTTTTATTTGTTATACTACTTTAAATTATTCTTTAATATTTCATCATGTAAAAGTTTTTGCCAATTTTCTATTTTCATTTTTAAAAAAATTAGTAATTATAGAGTTGTCATCTGCTTATGGTCTGTGTTAGTTTAATGATATAATGTAATTTCTATTTAGATATTTTTTGTGATAATTGAATTTTTATTATTTTTTTTTTATAGGTGATCGTACCAACTATGTTAATTTGCCTCATGTTATTGCAATGGTTGGTTTGCCTGCAAGAGGCAAAACCTATATATCCAAGAAATTGACTCATTATTTGAATTGGATTGGCATCAAAACTAGAGGTAAAATTAAAAAATTCTAACTTATTATTATAAAATACTTTTAAAGTAACAAAAGAATTGGTCAATATTTTTTCATACTTCACAATCACAAAGAATTTTTTTATAGTTTATCTTAATATGCGTTAATGTTTGTAACCATATGTTTTATTCTGAGAAATATCTCTACAGCTCAAAAACTATTTCAAAATTTGAAGCTTAGTCCATATGTCAGGCCCATCCGGAATCTCCACTTCACAATTCATGTGAAAAAAAGTTTTTATTTTATCTATCTATTCCATTAGACTTTTTTTTAGATATGTATTACTTGAAAAAAATTTAAAATAGTTAGCGCTTATTAAGAAAGTCAACTATAAAAAAAAAATTTTTTTTTTTAGGACATTCAATTAGAAATTGAAGTGAATATGAATCTATGGGAATTAGGTCCGTTATGGATTCATTTCAATTGTAGTAGTGTTGTATAACTATTATATGAATCTGAATGGGGGTCCACTATAAATATGATTCCTAGTTCACTATGAGGATATTTATTTAACATCAGTTTACTCAATATTAATGTAAATTTATGTTTACTTTAAAGTAAAAATTGTTTTAGGTCAAGTATTATTTTTTTAAATTATTGTATAAAATATCAATGTCCATAATGGATTCTACTTCTATAAGAATAATATCAGCTTACTCAATATCAATGAAAATTTATATTTTAAATTAAAAATTATATCATAATCAAATTATTTTAGGTCAAGTATTTATTTGTTAAATTCTTATTTTAGTATAAAAATATCAGTATCTGCAATACTTAAATGAAAACAACTGTAGTTTATTATTTAACTGTAGTCCATTATTTAAAAAGATTTGCCATGGGACCTTTTCCAAATTCTGAAATTTATTTTCTTTTATTGAATTTTATGTGTCATTTTTTGGCTTTTGCTAAAACAGAATTTTAAAAAATGGCTACTAATATCCATTTCTTCCAGTTTTTAATGTTGGAGAATATCGTCGTTCTGCTACTGAGGCCTACAAAAATCATGATTTTTTCCGTCCTGACAATGCATCAGCGATGGCCATTAGAAAGTTAGTTTTAATTACTCAGCAATTTTCTTATTTACTACTTACTTAATAGTTTCAAAAGAAGTTCTATATTTTTAATATTCTTTTCAGCAAATGTGCTCTAGATGCTTTGGAAGATGCATGTAAATGGCTTGAAACTGAAGGAGAAGTTGCCGTAGGTTTCTCTTTTTTTTTTTTTTATATATATATAGAATAAAAATAGTATATAGGTAATATAATATAGGTTTCCTTTTCTTAATATTTTTATACACTTGCATATTATATTCCTTATGACAAATACTAATGTCATAAAATTTTACATCAAGAATGTAATGTTGTATCACTCAGTAGAAAATTATTTCTTCTGTAATTGATATAATGATAACTAGTTATAATTGATATAATTTTACCTAGTGTTTTCAAATTAATACTACAGTACAGACATGGGTGCAAGTCTTCTGTCCCCAGGACGGATTTCCGTCTTTCGAAAATATCCGCGGACGGAAGTAAGATGGAAACAAGACTGACTCGAAAACGGAAATCGGAATTTTTTTTTTCTGTCCTTAAAAATACTTTTTAGGTCTACGTTATTGGTCTACTTTCTTATGTCCTGTTGTTATTTTATCCAAAGACAGATGAATAAATATTTTTTGTACAGTATTTAAACTTGATGTATTATGGTAAAACTTTCTTAGATAGTTTGTATATGTCGAGGGGGTATTGTGTATGTTAGGTATTTCAATCAAAAAATTTTCAGTCTTGGCCTTCTTTCCAACTTGCACCTATGAGTACAGAACCCGTTATCCGGAAACCAAAAAACCGGAACGAAATTCGATAAATTTTCTCGCCATTTAAAAAAGAAAAATTTCTTCCTAATAAGATTTTACGATTTTTCTTTCTTTTTTTAAAGATATTTACCTTACCATAATTTTGGAAATAATCATTAGTGTATTACTTCATCGTTTTTTCTTATTTTTTTAGATTATTTCCAAATTTATGATTTTTTTTCGTTGGGTTTAACAATAAAAACACGGCTTTTTGTAGCGATTCAGAAAACCGGAAAAATCAGTTATCCGGAATAGCGATGGTCCCGACCGTTCCGGATAATCGGTTCCCTACTGTACTATACAATTCTCACACACAGTTTCTAAATAAAACTCTTCAGCTCAATTTTTAAAATGAAATTTATATTGAATAATCTAATTTGGAATTTTTAACTTAAAATCTTGTATGTTGAATAATGATGAGAAAATATTATCAGTGTAATGATAAGGAAACTCTGCATTTGTGAAGTCCTTGACACTATCTTTAGAAAACAAGTTAAAATGTAAATCTATTGTAAATTAAAATAGAAAGAATTATTGCAAAATTATTTTAGAACAATAATCAAAGCAAACTAGAGTTTTAGTTAAGATGCAAGGTAACAATTGGTTCTGTTAAACCTTTCTCCGCTTCAAAGTATTTAACAGAAAGCAAAATTAATAACTACTGCTATATAGCAAAATCTAAGCTTTGGTTTAGATATTAAGCTAGATAATAAGCTATCCAGCTTAAAGTAAAAAGTAATACAATCATGCCTAATCTTTTACATTGTGGTTCAAGCTAATAAAGGCATAAGTTTTATTTTTCATTATCTATCATTCTTATAAAATTGTAAACACAAATTTTGTCTTTAGTTTTCATCCCTACTCCCTTTAGTTTTCTCCACAACTACTTGAATGGTTTTTACTATATGTCTATAAAATAAAATGTTATTTTTAAAAATAATATAGCGTTAATGGTTTTGTTGATTAAGGGCCACCCGCCAAGGGAAATATACAGGGCTTGGACAAAATAATGGAAACACTTCTACAAAACTTTTTATCTTTCTCAAGATACATAGAGAATCATTTTATAAATTTAGAAGTGTTTACATTATGCAATTTCTTGTACTTATCAAGGAAGTTTAAAGCTTTTAGAGGATTGAGGGACCGACAATAAATTACAAATGGATAAGTGTTTTTGGACACCGTATGCCTAAAAATGTAGCAATTCATTTGTATTTTGTAACAATTATTTTGGTTATTATATGCAATAATTGCACGGAATTTCGTAAATCTAGTTTAAATATTTATGGAGATGTGCATTTTTATAAACTAGTTTTTTTGTCTTACGTTTTTTGCTATACTATGATATCCAATAAAATTAAACAAAATTTTTGTAGCAATTTAAAATTGATTACAGAATTATATCTTTAAAATTTGAGAAAAAGGTGTTTAAAACTGTGCAAGATGAATAATTAAAGTAATTTTTTTATACTGCCCATGCTCAGAAAAAAAATTAACCTTTTCTTATTTTTGTAGTGAATCTTATTTGGCAACTATTAAAAAAGTCCAATTTGAGTGTCTAAAAAAAGTTAAAAAGTTTCAAGCAATTTTTGAAGTAGCTTTTGAACTTTTTAAAAGAAGCTCAAATTGATTATGCTTTTCCCAAGAACTTCATTTTGTAATATTAAACAAGATTTATTAAAAATGATACCAGCAATGTTGGGGGTCATCCCATCTAAGACTTATCTTTTCTTTTGCTTGTTTTATTTCCTTATATAATCACATTTTGGTGTATGAACGTTTATTGTAAGGTATCATCATTTGTTATTTAATTTTATCTTATGATGCAAAATATTTGTGGAACTTAAGAACTTTAAGCTTTCTTTTAAAAACTTCAAAAATTGCTTGATACTTTTTAAATTAAAATATTCTAATCTAGTTTTTTTCATTGGTTGCAGATATGATTCTCTACAAAATTATGAAAAAATTTAATTTTTTCCACACATGCAAAATATAAATAGACTACTTTAATTACTTATATATAGTAGCAAAGTTTTCAATGAATTTTTTTCAAATTTTAAAGCAAAAATTTTATAACTAATTTTAAATTGCTCTAAAAATTTTGTTTAATTTTACTGAATGTTTTTAAAGTTAAAGCATAAAAACAAAAAAACTTAGCTTTTTATAAAAATGTCTATCTTCATAAATGTTTAAGCTTGGCTTATGAAATTTTATGCAATAATTCCATTTAATAACCAAAATAATTTTTACAAGTTATTAATTTGCTGCTTCATTTTTTATTTTTTTGGCACAGGGTGTTTAAAAATGCTATTTTCCATTTGTAATTGATTGTCAGTCCCTTAAACTTTTAAAAGCTTTTAACTTCATTGATATGTATGAGAAATTGCAAGATCTAAACACTTCAGAAGTTATAAAATGATTCTTTAAGTATTTCTCAAAAAATATGAAAAATTGTATCAGTGTAGAAATGTTTCTATTTCGTAAATCCCCTGTATAATTTATAAGACACTCTTAATTGCCTTTTTTAATGCTTGAAAAGCTTCCCTTCATAATCTTGTATAGATTTTTTTTGGTCAGAATCTAAGATAAAAATGCTGTGTCTTTATTTAATTTAAATTTTATAACTTAAATAGGTTTATGATGCAACTAATAGTACACGTGACAGGCGAAAATTGATTCAAGACTTTGTGTGTGAAAGACATGGGTTCAAGTTGTTCTTCATTGAATCTGTGTGCTTTGATCCTTCCATTATTGAAGTGAATATCAGAGTAAGTATGTTTGCACTTTCATGTTTAATATATATTGCGGAAGCTAGGCTTGAAAAATTTAAATAGTTTCACAGGCTTTGCTGAGCATGTTATTCTAACAGAATGCAAGCTCATATTAATAAAAGATTTTATATGCACCTAAAACATTAACAGTGCATCTTCAACACTTTCATTTGAAATATAAACCAATTGCATTAAGTAATTACAAAAGTAGTAGCTATTGCTACAAATAAATAATATGCTCAAATTAGCATTGATGAAGGCAAGCATAGCATTATTATTAGAGCATTATTGGCAAGTGCATGCTCTTCAACAGGCCTACTTCCTTTCTTCCAAAGCAGGCAATTGACGTGAGCTTTTTTTCAGCGAAACTAAGCATAATTAGAATTTTAAAAAAAAGCTATTGTCTTATAAATTCTTTTAATAAAATTCAGTAGCTTTTAGTGTCTGTCAAATAAAATGGATTCTTCCTGGTACCATTTATCCACCTGGCATTTGGCAATTTTTATGTTAACTGGTGGAGGGCTTAATCAGTATTTTGCAATATTTTATTTCTGATTTAATATTCACATGCCTAGCAGATCATGTTAAGCAATATATTTCTAGAACCTTTGTGAATGCATGACTTATGTTTATATTTGTATTTATCTTTTCTGAGTACTGTATTACACACATAGATCCTTCAAATTGTTGAGCAATTCCTGGCTGCTAAATCTTTAAGAAAAGTATTTTAAATTTAAAAGGCAATTTATGTCGCGTTCGTGACTAATGTATTCATTTTTGAAGTCATAATTAAATTTTTTAATAATTAAATCTTGTTTAAAATAGTATAAAAGCAAAAAATTTATGCCTGCATTTCAATTGTATTGTTGAATTTTTTTTTTTTAGTAAACTAATATTTTTATTTAGAAGTAATTAAATAAAATTTTAAAAAAAATTTTATTCCTAAAAGTTCCAGTTAAAATAAATTTATAAATCATGCATTTGGAAAAGTTTTTTTTCAAGATACTATTTCAATTTAATAAGTACTCAAATAATTTAATATATGAATATGCTAAATTCAAACCAAATTTAATCTTTTTTATTCTAAAATTTCAAATTTTACAGTGAAAATTGGACTTGTACTTAACATAAAGGAAAAATGCTAAAATTAGAAATTTTAATAAGTCCCATGGTTTCAGACCAGGGTTAGTCTATTATCCATTCAATTAGTGATATTAGCTTTAAATTTTTATATTACATTATTCATTTTAATTGCTACAATGCTTTGAATGGGTTTCTATATTGTTGGTATTTTAGCTTTAGAAGTGATATTGTAAACTAATTAGTTGAAAATTTTTTCCTCTTACATAAACTTATAATTTTTATAGAAATAGTTTTAGATGTGATATTCAATAATACAATCAAACAATAGTTTTTTTAAAATAAAATTTCATTTTATAAGAGTTTAATTTTAAATTAAATGTTTTTGTAGTTTTTTAAATAATTATCAAACAGCTGTATAGTTTCTCCCCTTTTTTTAAGGAAGTTAATATTTAAACTGTTGGTTATAATTTTAAATCACTAAACTTGTTAAATTTAAAATCATTAAATGTTTCAGGAAGTGAAAGTGCATAGTCCTGATTACAGAGATAGTGATAAAGAGGAAGCACTAAGGGATTTCATACAAAGAATCGATCATTACCAGAAGGCTTACCAAACACTTGAAGAACAATATGAACCGAATTTCTCTTTCATGAAGATATTTAATGCAGGAGCTAAGGTCCTGGTTCACAGGCATGAAGGTGAAATAGTTATTTTTTCAATTTTGACAGTACAGTTTACTTAAGATCTGCACCTCAAATTTAAAACCCTTTTCAAAAGGCTCACTCTGTAATAGGTTAATTCCTGTAAGATCTCAAAGCAGTGTAGCCCTAAGCTTTTACCTTATTCGGATTCTTTTTTTCCTTTAAAAAAATAGTTACAAATTTTGGTATTATCTCTAACTACATTTTATATCATCATTCTTGTATTTTTTTATAGTTTTTTATTGCATTATATTTAATACAGTAAAATTTAAAAACAATGTTCTGCCTTAGAATGTTCCATTGGAAAAAAAAAAGTTCCATGTCTATTGATTTAATATTATATATAGTACTTCTTTACCCTATTTAATAGATATTTTCATATGTTTTTAAAATAACTTTTAGACTTATAAGTAAAATTGAAAATTCTTATTATCATGAATTTTTATTTTTCAAATTTTCGGATTGTAAAGTTAAAATTTTTATTATCTAACTGAACTAAAAAATAATATATGAGTGATCTTCTGCATTCTATTATAATGACAATGGATAATTTTTCAAAGATAAGGCTGTATTAATAATATTTTGATTAGGATGAAAACTTTGAGCAGAACTTTTGTTAAATGTATGTCATTAAATTTTGTTGTATATATATTCTTGACATTTGGGATTGGTTACTGGTTAATTTTGTTAAATGTTTCATTTTTATTGCAGGTCACATCCAAAGTAGAGTTGTTTATTACTTAATGAATATCCATATTTTACCACGATCCATCTACTTAACTAGAGTAAGAGATTTTCTTTCTTTCGCATCATGAAATAATACATCCATTTTAGATGCTCTGATTAATATAGTGTTCTATTTTGCAGCATGGTGAAAGTGTTCTCAATGTAAGAGGTAGAATAGGAGGTGATGGAGAGTTATCTGATAGAGGATGGGAGGTAGGTTTTTAAATTGCTTTAATGATTAGAGAAGTAGATATTTGGGCACAAATTCTAGTGGTCCAACTTTATTTGTACAGCATTCATTGAACTAAAGCATTATGACCACCTATTCAATAACACGTTGCACCAATTTTGGTTTTCAATGCAGCTGCAACTCTCTTTGTTATGGGTGCACCAAGTTTTTGGTAGATAACTGGAGACAGGTTGTACTAAATGTTTAAACAGCAGTCACATAAAGTCTAGATATTCTGACGTAGTTGTGTTTGATCTCTAAGCTGCCTTTCTATCACATGCCAAGTGTGCTCTATCTGATTAAGATCTATCAACTTAGATGGCCTGGACAGCAATTGGAATTCATTATTGTGCTTCGATTTACTGTCTTTGAATCACTCCAACACAATTCGAGACTAATAAATTGTGGTGTTGTCCATTTTTAGTTAGGTGAACAGACATTATGTATGGGCTAAACTGATCCACACTTCTGTCCAGAGCTGCCCATGAGAATGACCAGTCAAAGCATAATCCTGTTACCACCAGCCTGTCTATGACCTGCTGTATGTGCGGGGAGTAACTGTTTGTCTGAAAGATACTCGGATACAATAATTGGTGTGATAAATGAGAAATTTTGATTCATCTAACCAGGCAAATGTAGGCCTGAGAACATTGACAATGACACTTTGCCATCTGTGTCAAGTTTTACACAAGTGGGACATCTGCTATGCAGTCCCATATCCAAAAATATCTTCTGAACTGTGTGTTTTGAAACACTTGCACTTGGGGCCTGCATTGTATTTAGTTTTTATTGGTGCTAATTTAGTTTCTCTAAACAGGTCAGTCTCCAGCATTTCTTTTCTTTAATGATGCCTGGTCATCTGGCATCTACTGTTGGTTTCTCATTTTTTCTACTTTGCAGCAATACTTACAATGGTCGACTATGCACAACCTACCAGTCGTGCAGTTATGGAAATACTCGTTCAGTCTTCAGGCCATTTAGATCTGCCCTCTATCAAATTTGCTTATAAATCAGTAGCGTTTACCATCTCTCGCCAAAGTAAATGAAAGAATTCCGTACCTTTCCAGTTTCAGTTTAATACTATTCCAACTTAATCAAGTGCCCTCTTTGTCATCCGCGCGAGTTTTGTAAAAAATGTGGGGGTGGTAATAAGGTTTTGGCTCCTTTCCTTTTATCCTTTCTTTAAATTGTTCTGGTGTTTATCCTTTCTTTAAAATGCATTTTTTAATGTTGAAATTAAAAAATTTTTAAAATATATATTTTTTAGATTTAAGAATTGTTACTAGAAATTTTGTTTTTAATGTAATGTAGTTTTTTTTAAAGTCTTTTTTAGGAATTCTGAATGTTAAAGTGAGCTTTTTAATTAGTATTCTGAAAACTTTTCAGGTGGATAATCAAGTGTAATAATTTTTTTAAAATTTCATTTCAGTACACCAGAGCTTTAGCTAAGTTCATCAAAGAACAGGACATTCCTAGATTAAGAGTGTGGACTAGTCAATTGCTGAGAACTATACAAACAGCTGCTGGGATTGAAGCTCCCCAGGAAAGATGGAAAGCATTAAATGAAATAGATGCTGTAAGTTTTCAATTTTTTTCCGTGCAAAATAATTAAAATAAAATGTTTATCAAAAGTATGGTTGTAATAATTTATTTTTCAACACTAATTTTATATAAATTGTTTTAGATCATATTCAAAATTAGCTTCAATAGGTACGTTGAGAATTATAATATATATGTATATAATGTAATTTTTCCTCTTAAGTTAATTCCTCAACTTAATTATTTTAGTTTTTGTTCTTCCTATTACTGGATATTTATTTTTATTAAGTGTTGCTATGTGGTCAGGGAAACTTGAAATTGTCAGGTTTTTTGATTTTGGGATAAAAAGTTGGAATAATGCAATTTTAGGCCAAAACCTGAAAAATCTTGCAACAAACCTGAAAAATAACCAATTTTAAAATTGCCAGTATTAAATGATGCTCAAAGTAAATAAGTCTTACATTAATTTTAATTATTTTTGTAAAAAACATTTTTTACTAAGTTTTTAAAAATTGAACTTTGTATAAAATGTTGGTGTTTAATCGGAAGTAAATTTTAGATGGCTGACTATGCGACTCTTTAAATTATGTTTCATTGAAATTTTAAGTTTTTCAAATTTTTTTTTTCAAAATATGACTTTTATCTATGATTTATATTCTTGAGTGCTATATAGCTAGCAGGATCTTCTAGTAAGATTTTTTTTCTTAAATTAATATTGGCCTATTTTTTTCGAAATAGTGGGAAAAGTCCAAATTTTATTTCTAAAATTGTATGAAATCTTGTTAACTACTTTTTCTAACCAATTTTATATTTATCTTTATAATGGTTGTAAAAAAATAGCTTTTTGAAGTATTCATTTATCTGAAAGTTATGTAATTAAGCCCAATTAAAACCTGTAAAATTGAGTTGCATCATCTTTATTTTCTGTTTTAGGGTATTTGTGAAGAGATGACCTATGAAGAAATTCAAGAGAAATATCCAGAAGACTTTGCTGCCCGTGATCAGGACAAATTTCATTACAGATATCCAAGAGGGGAAGTAAGTAGGCATTAGACTACCTTTTTAGAATCCATTTGTGCAAATCTTTTAATTTTAACTCTTTGCCAACAAACATTTGACATTCGATCCCTTAAATTTTTTTTCCTCACTTAAATAATTGGGTGGCATTAACCGGAGGAAATTTTAAGAATTTTAGAAGACCAAATTTTATTAATTTCTATCTTCCAAGATATGTTTGTATATTAAAGGAAATTTAATATTAAAACTAGCCAACTTATTTTTGTTCCAATAGTAGTCTGATTTATCCTATGACTAATGAAGAAAAATTATGTTTTTATACATACAAATTATTAGTTACTTTTTCCATATTTAAGAATTATTGCAGTAAAATATTTATATATTTTTAAATCTCATATTTTTTTCTTTCGGTATGATTAACTAATTGGTTTGTACATCTCTCCCGTTTGTCATCAGTAATAAATTTTTTTAATGCAAATTACTGCCATCATTGTTAGAATATTTTTTTTTCTATTACATTAGAATATTTTTATTCTATTACATACCTGCCAACTTGTTCTGATTTATTGGAACATATTTTTTCCTTACTTAGTGGTAGTAAATTTTATGATTTAATATTATGTTATTTATTTAATATTGTTTATTTAGCAATTTAAATTTAAAATGATTGTTTCCACTACTAGATATACAACAACTAAAACATATTTATTTAACCTATTAATTGTGCAGAGAAGTTCATTAATGTAGGTCAAATTAAAGAAAGTTTACCATGAATTATAATTTCGCTGCTGTTTTAAATATTCTTACTTCTGTGGTAGGACTTCTGTAATGGCAGCAATGCTATCAAAAAATGCAAATAATTGTTTTGAAATTGTTCAAAAAAGATTCTTTTGTAAATTTTGAGTTGATCAGTAGGTTTAAATATTGATTTATTAGCTATTCACAATAAATTTCTTTAATATATTGCTTTTATTTTGTTATAGTCTTATGAAGATTTGGTTGCTCGATTAGAACCTGTGATAATGGTATGATTTATTTTCTCGGATCATTTTTTAGATAATCTGTTGTAATTTTTACACTAAATGATTTGTTTATTTTACAGGAATTAGAGAGACAGGAAAATGTTTTAGTTGTTGGGCACCAAGCTGTTTTAAGATGTCTTTTAGCTTACTTTCTTGACAAAAATTCTGGTACGTTTATTTTATTCCAAATTTTGATGTGTGCCTAGTATCAGAAACTTCTGTGATCATCTGCAACTAACTGCTTATCAAAAACTGATTCTCAAAAAATAGCTTGTGATAAAGTTTTAAACCATAAGAAAATGTGCATAGGAAATGTGTAATACTGCTCTAAGAGGTATAAATCATGTATTTATATGACTATATTGCAGACTTCAAGGTAGTTGTTGATTGAATGCTGAATAAAAGATTCAAGATACATGGGCCGCTTTTATTTGGCCAAGCTTTTATTTAAATTCATTCCAAATTTCAAACTGGTTAGAACTTTTTTAATTTGTAGAAAAGTAGCTCAGATAGTTAAAAACCTGTGATGCCACAATAGGCATTACATATTTCCTAGCTTTTAAAATTTAATTTCTAATACTTATTTTTTTAATCATTATTAATCGAATTTTAATTAAATTAGACTAATTATTTAATTAGTATTACATTTTATAAAAAGCGAATATAAAATTATTCTCTTAACAGTCAATGTAAGGGCAAAATTTTTATTTCAATACTAAATTTAAGGCTCATTAATTCACTGTCTTGACTAAATCAAAAACAAAAATCTATTTCTAATTCTTTATTTCTTACCACAAAAATGTTTCATTTACATGGTTATACTAATTCTCAGTCTTTTTGGTAATTCGATTTCGCCAAATTATTTTCAAATTTAATATTTTTTATGGGGGGTTGGCTTTGTTATCTTTTGATAAATCACCAACCATGGATCTCTTTCCATGCTCCTAACTATCTGTTAAGAGCAATTCACTGTTTAATTTAGCTTTTGAGTAGACTAATCATGGGGATTATCTCCCATGGCCTGTGCTTATTGATATTATTATGTAAAATTTATTATTTAACTTAGAACCTCTTATTATGGATTAAATATAATTTTGTATCTGGAGTTCTACAAATACTAAATAAAAGTTTTATTATAATTATGATCTAGTTTTCATCTTCAACTGTTATTTTCATTATCCTGTTTTCAACACAATTTTCAATTAGTCAATTATACCATACACTTCCAACCACACCTAATTTCGTAATTATGAAACTATATTAGTTTAAAGATTGGACTAGATTTTAATAAGTAATTTCTTTATCCTATATAAGCCTTTGCTGATAATATCTCATTATACTGGGATAATTTAAAATTTTCTTACCTACATTTTCTGTCTTATTTATTCATTTATGATTTCATGAGTTTCTGAAGTTGAAAAAATACCTGGTATAATTAATATTAAATAGCATTTGTTAGCCTTTTGCTGGAAAAAAGAAAAACATGGGAAGTATTTGCTAGCTTTTTACTGATATTGTTCTTTCTTGAGAGTCTTAGCCTAATTTTGATGTAATTACTCATTTGGAGATGAAATATTGTCAAATTATCTTTTTTTCTGCTAATCACTTTCAATTCTTTTCTTTCAGAAGAATTGCCATATCTAAGAGTACCTCTGCATACTGTGATTAAACTTACACCTGTTGCTTATGGCTGTGAGATGGAACTCTTCAAACTTGATGTTGATGCTGTTGACACTCACAGAGAAAAACCACAGGTAAACAAGGGTGTTTTGGCCCTTTCTTATACATCTATCATTTATTTTACCTTAATCGGTTTTAATATTTATCTGTGCAGTGTTTGTTTGGTGTGTATTACCATTAAAAACTTTTTTACATAAGAATTTATTTTTATGCTGTCCATTGTTTTTCTTCCCAAAAAATAAATTTTCAAAAGCTGAAGAAAATGAATAAAGATTTGTGATTAAAACTGGAAGTTTCAAAAATTGTGGAAGTAAAAGGAAACTTAATAATCTAACGTTTAAAAACTTGGAGTTTTGACTCTGAAATAATTTTTTTTTTTTTTACGCTAAATTCGTTTTAAATTCTTCTATTTGTTTAAAAACATATTTTATATAATTTAGACAAAAAAATTTTGTGCTTAAGAAATAGATAAAAGGTAAAAGTGACAATATGTATAGATACTTATATTTATTTATTTATTGCAATTAATATTTATGCAACTGAATGTAATGTACTGGCAATTTAAAAATTCACAACAGTTGTTAATACCCTAGCAGCAAAATAACTTAAAAACTCATTGGGCCAATATTCCTATGGATAGCTTAATCAATACTTTATTGCCCTTATTTCACCAAAATCGGTCCTATGCAGATTTATTATGTTCACCTGATATTTTATTGCCATTTTTCAGACTATGGCGGTTGGATATAGAAGTATCAGACTCAAGTGATGTTTTACACCCGTTATTCAGCCAATATGAACCCTACTTAAAATTGTTTGATTGATCCAATATTTTATAGCCGTTACTCAACCAATACAGACAATATATAGAATTGTACAATTCACCCGATATTTTCCAGACAATTCATCCAACCTAAACCCTATTTAAAATTAACAGATTAACTTGATATTTCCTAGCCGTTAAATAAAACATAAAAGATAAAACAATAAAAGCTTTTCTTTAAATTCATATTTAGTTTTCAAATATCATGGACAGATAGATCAATATAATTCTATTGCTAAATCAAAACATGCGGTTCTCTTGTTAACTCTATTTTCTACTGTCAGAACTTGTCATTTTGACCAAGGTGAAAAAATTTTATAACCGCCGTTGAACAGCCGACCTAATTCTGTTTTTATGACTGCCAATGTTCAATTTCGTGGACTTGTCTTTTTGATCCTAATCCAGAAAACAAGGGAACTCCTGGATCAAGTATTGGGAGAAATTTGCTTTTGTGGCGGACTTTTTGATGGAACTAACTTGCATTTGCTTTGCACGGAGAGGAAAACCTCGCATGGTTAGCTTGATGATAAGGGGACTCTAACCCATGATCACATACCACTGAGGATACTTTTTGCAAGCTCGCAACCGGTATGACCCGGGTGTGAAATTTGTATCAACAATCCATTTGCTGGGATTGGAACCCATTAAGAGGCAAATGCTCTATCCCCTGAGCCACCACGGCTCTAGGTGAAAATGTTTGTAGTTATTTCCAGTAATTCGGTAAAGATTGGGTGTTTAATCAGATTGCATACCAAGTTTTCTGAACCCCCCTCTGAAATATTGCCAATCGTTCAAATGCAGCTTTATCACTCTAATTTTTAACTCTTGCAACTTCAAACATAAATTTTGACCAAAAACTTGCCTTTTGAAACAAGGTGAATTCATTTCCAGTTATGCTGTACAGACTGTATTTAACCGGTTTGTGCATTGTGTCTTCGAAGTCCACTCTGAAATAGAGCCGATAGCTCAAGTGCACAACTTAAGTAATCATCCAGCAGTATCAAGAATAAGAATTAATTTTTGAGACCCAGGGATCTGTCCAGGGCAAATTTACTGCCGTTAAGCGGTAGCTTCACAAATTCAATTTTAGGAAAAATGGTAGTTTCACAAATTCAATTTAAATAAAAACGGTAGTTTCACAAAATACTTTTAACATATTTTCGAGAAATATTTAAATATTTTTGAAAATATTTTCTTATTTTACCATATTTTTGTGTTGATTTTTTTATAAAATTTTTAAATTTCACAAATTATGTTTAAATTTTAACAAAATAGGTACCTCTAAAAAAAGACCTAGACAGACCCCTTACATCACTTAGTTTTCTAGGCCAAATCTCACCGTATTACCTTCAATATAACGAGTGAAAGCAGTTTTTACTTCTTAAAATATGTGTGTTTAATTGTTCTATTTATTAATTTCAAGATATTTGGATCAGCTGAGAGTTTTAAGACAAAGCATTTACAGTGATTTTTCTTATTTCATAATAAATAATCCTAAACAAAAATTTTCTTTCAATCCTGTACAATTTTACCAAAATTTTATGTAAACTATCAGAAGTTTAATAGACAAATAAAGAAATATATCTTTTCAAAGGATGAATGTTTATATTTTACTTGAACTATTGTGAAGTAAACAAAAATGACTTGCAAGCAAAAAAGAAAAGTCTGTTATAGGTAGGTTTGTTTGTATTGTAAATCACTTATTAGGGAACTGGATATAGAAATAGATATTATTAAAATAATTTAAGTCTTTCCAGGTTTAATAAATATAAATACAAAAATGGATCTTAATAAAAAGCCTGTAATGGTGTTATATATTTCTAGATAATGTTCTTAAAATGACTTTCGATGTCGGACTGAGATTGCGCTTCATAAGTTTTATAATAATAGGTCCTAGAACAACGTTACATTGTAGTCAAATATTTATTTCTATATAGGACCTTTCTAGGCTTATAATATAGGGCCACTATTGGGGTATCTAAATGTTTTAATATTGGTCCGTGAATGGTTTTGAACATAGGACCAATAAAGGACCCTTATAGGCTTACAATACAGAGCCTGTAGCATAGCTACTACTGCAACTATGGAATTCCAGTTCACTAGTATATAAGACTTGTTAACTTGTTTATATCTTGGGGTACCTCTTGATAGATGAAGGTCGAAATTGTCAGTAGTCTAGCCCTACAAGGGAAGCTCGCTTGCCTCAGCGAACACTCTAAATAGGTAACTTTCGTAAGTGATCTGAACACTACTATCTCGATATGAACACGCCTAGTTTGATGAATGGAATACAGTGAACAATTGACTTGCAATTTGTAACTGCATCATTGAACTCCTCATGCTGTTGCTACTCAGTCTAGATTAGACACAACTGGATCCTTTTGCCTAGCCCCACATGGGTGACTGAACATGCTTGCCTCAACCAACACTATACAAGCCAATATTAGGGTATCAATATTTTTATATTGGCTCTAGAATGGCTTTCAATAATTTACCGATATTTTCTCTGTAGGCCCCTTATACACTTATAATATTGGGTGAACATTGGGACGTCTAGATTTTTCAATATTGGTGCTAGAATGATTTCCAATAATGAGCCAAAATCATTTTCTATGTAGGACCATTATAGGCGTATAATGTTGGGTAAAAATTGGGGTGTCTAGATTTATCGATATTAAAAAATCTAGACTTGCCAATATAAGTCCGGCGCAGCATGTTCTCCTTTGGACTTTATGCCATTGAATCCTACATTCAATTCAATCCCAATATAAGTTCCTTGGTACATTTTTTATGGGATCCATATTTGCTAGTTTTGAGCCCAACAGGGACCAATTTAAAATTGTTGCTAGGGTAGTGATAGATTTGTTCTGTTCTGTTTAGGAAACAAGAAATTTGTTCTTACCAAATTCCAAAATTAATCAACCTATTATACTGCTAACTGAACTGCAAAACAGTGTTTTATGGTACTGTCTAAAGTTAAAATTAAGATGTCTATTATGTTGGCCATGATCTCTTGACTTACTTTAAACTAATTTTAAAACATGGGGAGAAATAGAACATTTTCCTGCTCGTAATGCAAGACTTTGAACGCTTCAATCTTTCTGTGTTTTTATTTTTAAAATCTTTAGTCAATTTGAGGACATTTGATAATTAATCCAATGTTTCACCATAGAAAATGTTGTAAGCTATTATACATGTTGCCTAGTTTTTTAATTTTTAACGCACTATACTTAAAAGCTAATTATAATCAAAGCTGTTTTAATTTTCCTAAAGCAACAATATAGTATAGCACAACCTCTGTTGCATATGGTTCTCTCAGTTATCACAATATCTTAATTTCTATAGGTTTATTTTCAATAAAAAAAATTAAATGCAGTTACAGAAATCTGTTTGTATCTGCTTAATATACAAGTATTACCTCAGCCTATCTTCATAAAATTCCTATGTTTTAATTTCTAAAAATTCTATTTGAAACTAAAAGAATTTTAGGTAATAAATTCATAACATTTGCAAGTAGTTACAATGCTACAAGAAAACTGCATTTTACTTAATTACGTTATACTTTTTTAGAGAATAAGTTGAATTTCCAATATTCTGTTATCTGCAATACAATATTTTCAACTACTTTTTCATTTGAACTTTTTGACCTATTCTTAAATTATTATATAATTGAATTTTCCTGGCTGCATATTTTGTAATACTGCAGCGTCAAACATTTTTTTCTTAATTTCAGCGCAATCTACTGCTAGATTTCTATCTTTGTGTTTAGGGTATTTTAACTGTACAACAATACATCATTACAAAATAATAAAAAATGATTTAATGAAAAGCTTTTTAAGTATCTCATTTTATGTTTCTGTAGTAACACACTCTAGTTTAGTCTAAAACAATCAGAAAAAAATGCTTTTTTATCTTATATCCCTTGCTAATAATATCCAACTAAATGTATCTAAAAGGTATTGTAATGTATGTATCACACTTGTAAACAATATGAAAAACTTGTATGGTATTTGTTTTATCATTAAATAATTCTAGCCTATTTTTAAAGAACTTTTTAAGCAATTAATATAAGTCTTCATCATTCTGTATTAGGATATGGAATGTATTTTACTTTTGTTAATATACTGGAAACTTTTCTTGAACTTTCTATTCCTGAAGTTGTAAATTAACTGTTCTTGTAGTGTTATGTTTGTGTGTGTTGTGCTGCTGTGTTGTTTGTGTATCATTGTGATTGTTTAGCATTAATAATTG